AATTGAATTCCAAGAATCCCAATCATTCTTTTAATCTGGCGCCCTTCACTTCTTATTCTGGCCGGGGGGGGGGGCCAAATTAATCAGACCCGAGGATTAGGATGGATAGACTCAGGTGGTTGAAAGGGATTCGACGTTGAAACAAGTTTCATCCTTCAGCTTACTGGTGCTCAAGCGGGAGTGGGAAACATTGGTTGGATAGGGACTTCTATAGGGATATATAGGGATGCATCCCCCACCCCATTCTCCCACAAGTACCAGTAATTAAGTCAAGCATGGAGGCGGCTGCTCCCAAATGCGGATTGTGGAGGCGCTTGTGATGATGATGCGGAGAGGGAGTACCCGTTGCTGTGCTTCTACTTACCTGAAGCCCATACTCACACAAGCAACAGACATACAGCTGCAACCCTCGAACATCATTCTCAAGGGAAGCCCCAAACGTGAACAAGAAAACCTACACCAGAAGCCCTGGACCCCAATTTTACTTCTACCTGTACTTTTAACCCGGCCCCCAAGTCCCCAAATAGGGCTATCTTCAAGTTGCAACTACAAGTATGCCCCTGCCCCATATCCTAAACCCTACACCCCAAGCAGCAGACCCTCAGCTCAAAAAAAGGCTGTTAACGCCAGGTGTCTGCCTCAGCAAACAGCAGGGCAGCGCGTTCCACGCTGGAGAGCACCTCACCTCCAAGGCAGCACAATGCATCTTCCAAGTATGATTGTTGGGGTTGGAGGAAAGGGATAGGGTCGCAGAGGGTTCTTCCGGGTTTCCACAGGCTGTTTAGGCCTAGGCGAGAGTTGGGTTGGCCCCTGTGCGGTTACAACTTACAGATACTCAGAGTATGGCAGCTTGTATTGTGGAGCGAGCATCTGCCCATGCGCAGCATTGTCAACTGTATCGGCCCTTCTTATGTCTACTGCACAGCACACGAAACGCATAGTTCAAGCTTCAGGGCGTAGCGCGTACCTCGCAGCTTAAAAACAATGAAACTATGCTAACTGTACGACTGGAGAATTCCCAGGCATGTGCGACAATACGGCCATTTCCAAGGCGGAGCTGGCTTACATACACACACACACACACAAACCTGATTGACCCGAATGCGATTGCACGTTGGTTTACGCATGGGCGAACGGACTGCCAGGAGGGTCTCCGGGAGCCTCTTGGGAGCCTCCGGTCCAACAAAACTCCAAAAACAGCTTCAAGAGGCCTCCAGCAGGCCCTCTATGCCCAGGCGTCGTTCAAGGCTCTCTCCAGAGCCCGCGGGAGACTCACAAACGCACGCGGACACATCTGGATGCACGTGGACGCCTGCGCGCGCTTCGCACACGCCCTGACCCCCAAGCCTCCACACATTCAAACAAAAAGCCCTCGGCAGCGCATTCGAGAAAACACGCACCACATTTCTTATCATGGGGACCGAGCAAATTGAATCCTCATATTTGGAAACCTCCGTGTTCGGCTGCTTCCTCTAAGAGACTCTACTGGTCCAAGACTTTCTTACACGAAGCTTACACTAGTCTTGGGTTTAGGCTGCGCGGGCCTTGATTTGAGAGCAGTGTTCTGCTAGGGTACTCCCCGCCTGATAGTAAAACCCCCCCGGGCCTCTAATATTGCATATTCCCTAGCTCTTTTTGTGGGAATATTGAATATTTAGGGGGGTAGGATGGTTCGATTTTAAGTTGCCACCTCTCCCGTCAATGGGGAGCTCAGCTCAAGAAAGCCCCCGCAATGAGCCTGGGCCTCTTCACTACTCACCTACGTCTCTTGCTTGTTTAAGGTATACCTCTTTGCCGGTATTTGGTGGGGTTCAGAAAATATGCTAGCTTTCCTGTTGATCTGTTGTGAACTGCAAGCCATGCCGCTCTACAAAATTGAGTCTGTCTGCAGGCCTTCTGCGAAGCCGCCATTCAGGATAAAAGCCCGGCGTGGAGAGACCGTGGGCGCATCAGATGACAAATGCTGGCCCAGCGCATCTAGAAGGGGCTGTCCTTACTGGCATGGCAGGCACGAAGCTCTTGCTGGACCACAATTGAAGTTAAAGGACATGCCTACCCATCATACACAACACAAAGGTGTCTGAGTACCCGTGCCGTCCCCATGGCCGACGGTGCCAACAACAAAACCCTCTAAAATGATCCACACAATCTCCGGGCACTCTTACGAATACCTGAAGCCATGCTTCTCGTCCTAGGGTCGGCTCGGTGTCGGAGATTTGGATTTCAATATCTCCGGGAACTTCCCGTGTATAGCCTTGAACCTCAGCTGAACAATGATGTTGAGGGGGTCTGTCCCAAACCAAGGCAAGGGGATTACAAAGGAAAGCATGTCTTCTTCTCTTTGAGGGCCTAGCATCAAGGATTACTACCAAGGTTGAGGTATGAGGACTTAAGGATTGGGCCTTTTGGTCGTAGGTTTAGGGCTAGGGCTGCAATGGTTCTAGCACTCCTGGCACAAAATCTTGCCCCGCCTCTTTCTAGCGTTGGTGTTCTGAAGCAAATGTCCCTCAGAAACACAAACATAGACGGGGGGCTCTGACAGAGACTCAGACTGCACAAGAGGCTGTACACTGAGAGCTACCAGCATCTGAACTTCGCTGACCTGTCCGCAAACATCTGGCTGTACAAACTGCCAATACCCTGAAAATGATGCTCAAGCATGCTGATTATTTTCCGAAAGATGTCGACCCCACAACTTTTCTCCAGAGTGCGTGCTGTTTCCCTCATAAAAAATACCTTCTAACATGTTGTCAGAGACCAAACTGCAAAACTCAAAACACATCCTCAAATGGGCTGAGGAACAGCGACCCCAGGTGGAACCAGGGTGCAAAACTTGTACCGCTTGTCAAGTAGTCTGTCGACAACAGGTTCAAGGCTCTGGGGACAGTTTCGTGGATTGAGTCTGGTGTCATCATGGTCGTTCAAAGCTCGAGGGTGCTGTTAGTCATGCTGCTCCTACGCAAATACACGCTGGCCACAAAGATCCAAATAGATATAGCTGAATACCTAGTACCACGGGCTTGGGGCGGGGATGTTTGCCAGCTGTGAACGTTTGACTGCTGCTGCGCTTACCTTGGCGCAGGATCCGGGCGAATGGGACCACGCAATGTCGTGGACTCGACCGTGACCATTTCAAGGCGGCTTCCCTGTCCCAAATTCCCTCTCATCTTCCCACGCCACTGACTTCCGTACTGGACGCCCCCCCCCTCCCCCCCGCACACCCCGAAAAACAAGTCCTGACTTTAAGTTTGGGAAAATCCAGAATAACATTTTGGACAGGCTCTACACCCCCTGGACTTTAGTGAAGAAAAGGCCTCAACAGCTGAGAGGGCTTAGGGCCGTGAACAACTAATTGGAGGTTTCCTAAAATTAGGGGTACCCTTTTGGGAGTCCCCATAATACGGACGATTATATCTTTGGGTCTACGTTAGGGTCCCCCTCTGCATGGAAACAACCCCAATCTGCTGTGATACGAAAACGCATACCAATCACTTTGCACATGTCAGGTGCAGCTGTTTGCCAGACTTCTGGGCAGTCTGTCCTGAGGGTCCTTCGGATACACCTTTCTGTACATGTACAATCAGGGCTCAATTATTCACCAAAATTATGGTTCTAAATTCCTTGTATGGTTATGGTACAGGGTGGCCTGGTAGCCCCGACAAACCACAAAATTGTATTGAAAATATCCGTGCATCGGCGGACGGGGGCCTTTTGGTGGTTGGATGTTTTCTTTGAACGGTCATGGAGCTTCTGGCAGCCAACCCGAACAGTCCGTTTTCCTGCTTGCCCTGCTAGAAATTACAGGGTTTAAGGTTTGGAGTTCACCTCACTACGGTGACCAGAAATCATGCCAGAACCCCGGTAGAGGCTTGGCATGACCTCCGCATTTTCGTTATCCTTTTGGAGTTTCGCGTTATGACAAAGAATTGTCTGGAACCCGTATAATCAAACAATGATAAACCCCCAACCCCACGTCCTCACATCCTAGCTGATAATCCTCCATGGCAAACCTTGAACCCTCTGGAACCCAAAACCACAAACCCCTGATGCTCAGAGGCTAGTCATCATGTTCGCTCTCCGCCTCCGTGTCCGACAGGCTGATGTAATGCTGATACCGTGGGTACTTCGTTTCCCGCTGCCCTTGCTCTTCCGCAGCTGCTGGTGCAGGCCACCAAGACATTCAACTGTTGCTGCACGACTTTGCCCGCAGAGCAGGGTACCAACTACACTGCGTGGAGTTAGAATTGGGTGCAGTATGGGCTTCACGCCGACATAAGTGGTGGGCATGTCTTGTGCCGAGCAGCGCCCCAACACTATGCCTTGCGGCATACCATCCTGTAAACCCCATGCTTACTATTGGAGATGTAATCCCAGAATGGCCAATCTGGAGCCCTGTTGCAGAGCAAGACCTTGCTTGGACTGCAGCCGAAGCATGCCTCATGTCTGATGCCAGGTACGGACAAGACCAGAGGATTGTGGACTTGCGCGCACAAGCGCCGACGGCTTTGCATGCGTGGGGCAGCGCCCTCAGCGCCTGCCCGTGCAGGTGTCGTTGCGCAGGTTTTACGGACCATAGGTTGCGGGCCGGGGGCTTAGGGGGTGTAGGGGTTGTTTCTGGCCTGCTAGGTGTCCTGCGTTTCCCCCACCCGTGTGAAGCAGTTTCCTCAATTCCCTTACCCCTGCCTTTGAGTTCCTTCAAGGCGCCCGTGCAGGACTGTGTCTGGTCGGCAACATCATGCAGTGCGCCTCTGAGGAGGGTCTTTCCCATGACCTCCTTCAGCTCCTGCTCCCTGCCCTCCGGGCTTCGGTCGAAATGGCCTGGCTGCGCAGCCTTTCCATCAGTCATCACCATCGTGGCAGCATGTCAGATCTTGATGGGATTGACCCAGCTCTTGCACGTCTGGACAGCACACGCCTAACAACCATGCAAAGCGCGAGGGTTGCTGCGTTTCAGAGCGGGATTCTGCAGCAGCTCCCAGACAGCTCGCAACACTTTGCCTCTCACCCCGCTCTGTTCACGGATGGGGCCTGCAACAGGCCTGCTCCCCCTTGAGGCAGCCCTGGCTGCATGGAGTGTTGTGAATGCCACGACCGGTTGTGTCGTGGCTACTGACCACCTTCCTGGTGCTCATCAAACTGCACCTCGGGCAGAGTTGTTTGGCATTCTTTCAGCAGTTTCTTGGGTTCGCTTTTATTGTGTTTCCGGGGTCATTTGGGATCCCTTGTCGGTAGTTGAAGGGCTTTGCTTGATGTTGGAGGGTACTCAGCCTGACGCGCGATGGAAAAACTTTGGGACATCCTGGGAGACCTGACACCGGGACAGCTAAGGGCACAGCATATTCCCTCGCATTTGGATCCTCTTCTGTGCGAGAATGCATTCGAAGAATGGGTCGCGGAATGGAATGGGCATGCCGACACGGTCGCAACGCTCACCAATGCAAGCAGGAGTTCGGACACTCAGCGCATTGCTGCTGAGGCAATCCGCTACTTTACGGACACAGCTGCTTGCATCCGGGCGCTGAGGGCCATCTACCTCCAGATTGCCGAGATTTCGAATTCTGACCGTAGGACCGTCAACCCAATGACTTTGAGATGCCCGCCTTCCCCGACGAGCATCTGCCCCTAGGACAGCCTAAGGGGGAGGAGACCCTACTTGAACTGCTGCCCGTCGCTGGAGGGCAGATTTCTTGGCAGGAATGAGCGCTGCGCAAGTGTCTCAGAGCGGGGAAGCTTCTTCAGGTAGTGCTTGAACTGGATGAGCATGCGGACACAATATACACAGTGTCCTTGATCGAGCTTGTGGCTGCTGTTTGGGAGATCGAATCTGCTGTTTGGCTTTTAGAAACCAATCTCGATCCTCGACTCCCAGTCCCACAGCCGACCGTCG